TGGTGAGAAGAGCGACCCGCAAAATGCCTACGGCGTGGTCAGGGATGAGCCTCTGTCTGCCGATGGCGACGTCGAGAACATTCTACAGATGAGTCCGCAAGAGGTTAACCTGACAGTCAGAATCAGTGAGTTTAAGGACACTGTTAATGTACATGTTCTCTTGTTTGTGGCGAAGGACAGTTGTACTTCTTACTCACTAAATTGCATTATGTATATGTATCTTTACCTCTGCTATATTTATGATCCAGAGGCCTTTGTAGTTTTGTCAGGGTAAATTTGATTAATGACAGATAGCCATGGAGCAGTTAAATTATACGGTAGTATTACTATCAGTGTAGCTTTCATTACTTAAATAGATAATGAAAATAGTACTTGAACTAGCTTAGTCACATTCATTTTCAAATCGTTCCAACAATATTGTATTTACATCAGTGATCCTGTCGTTAAATCTCTTCTTATTACTATTATCAACAAAAGTGTCAAAAAGAATACGCCATATTGTAATTAGTTTGCGTTATTAACAAAAATACTTTAGTTGATCTTTGGAAATCTTAGGGCTGTGTTGCATTTTTGCAATGCCCTAACTGTATATTTAAATACAGCATCCATCTTTTTTATTGATTTAGTGATCCATATAATGTGAACACTCCTCACTCCTCAACGAGCAAAAGATAAAATGTATATAATTCTTTAAAGCTTGTCCGATTTCCAGTAGGTATTATTGCAAGGCCTGTAACCATAATTCTGAAAATTGTGTCGAATGTTTACGTGTTTCGCTTGTCAGAGGAAACCTTCAACATATCCCTGACGTACAAACACATGGCGAATTACCCAGCTGATATCTACTACATGATGGATGGATCTAAGTCAATGGCAGACGATAAGGACATGTTGCATTCGGTCGGGAAAGAGCTGGCAGAAGGAATGAAGAAGATTACCAGTAACTTGCAACTTGGCTTTGGTATCTTCGTCGACAAGCCAGTGCTGCCTTACGTTTCCACTATGTCGAAGTGAGCCAATTAATTTGATATTTATGGTTTGTTTGTAACATTTTTATAGTAGTTCTTGTACTATCTCTGATTACGTAATACTGTGTTCATAGTGCAATATACGTGTGAGTGTATTTCATTAAAGTTAATATTTCCTCCAGAAACGAAGCAGCCTACAGTTTCAAGAATGTTCTTCCACTCACCAGCAATACCTCAGCTTTCACAGTGAGTTAGATATCTGTGTCTCTTTGCATAACAGCGTAATCCTGTAACTAGCTGTCGGCTGTCGATGGCGCTTGCAGCCGGACTTACTCACTGAATCCGGTCAGCTTTGGGGCCTGGAAGTGGAGATTCTTAGTGATTGGAAGTTGAAATTACAAGATAAACCGACTCTATTCGTGTAACTAGCTGATCAGTGTTATACCATCAATACCGTAATATAGGCCTAGAAAATCTAGCTAAAAGCCATAGATATTACCATATCGCTCAAACCTTTTACAGTACAGCACTGTGTAGCATGTATAATGTATTATTTTTGATAATACACCCACGGCAACAACGATATGTAGATTGGCACTTCGGGAAACGATAATATCACGTTAAGTCCAAATAACCACAGGACAATGCTCAATCCTTAGCACCCGCTATAGATGGCATAGTAACAAATTGAGCAATATGATTGTTAAGAATGAAATGACCTTTACTGAAGCCTCGAGGTCATGGTATAACTTCATGTGGAAGCGTCATTAATCATTCACAAATCCCATTGATAGTAGTATTTCTGAAATCTTTCTTAGTACAGAGAAAAAAATATAATTATTTTGATGAAAATATATACTTTTATTTGCCAGGACTTGGCAAAGTTCGTTTCATTGTTATATATACATATACATACATACATACATACATATATATATAATATATATATATTATATATAATATATTATTTATATATATATATGAATATATGTATGTATGTGTATATATAACTTACGCCAGCCTCCTGTTGATCGTTATAATCACGGATCCTTAATACCTGAAGTGAAACAAGTAGATGCAAGAACAATCCTAAATATCAGATAATAATGTTCGCTGTATCTAAACATAGGTTAAATAAGTAATGAACATCATTTATTAGGATAGATACATATGCCTTTGATGGAATACCACCGATGGTTCTGGTATTTTCTCCGGTACGGTATAATTTGTAGTACAACGATTATTCTCAGTAGGGTTTGACTAGTTTTAAACTTAAAAACCTTTTCATATAGGCACGAACCTTTGACCATTACCATTTTGATTGTGGCAATGTCAAATACTAAATGCCTATCAGTAATATTTATAACTGGTCTTTGCGCTGATAATTCGTCATCCACATGCCCTTCCTGATTCATTTTAAACAGCTGATCTCCCTTTCTTCTTTCTCACAGGAAGAGGTCAAGCGAGCGGAGGGCGCCACCAACCAGGACTTCCCTGAGGGCGGATTCGATGGCCTCATGCAAGCCATAGTGTGTGAAAAGGACATCAAGTGGCGCAATGCCAGTGTCCGGGTGATCTTTTTCTCCACAGACGCTGGGTTCCACTTCGCGGGGGACGGGAAGGTAAGCGGGAAGGGTGAGAATGGTCGAAGGTCTCCATGGGGAATAGTTTCTTCTTCTTATTATTATTATTCCGTATTGTCCTTAAATCTTTGCTAAAAGAGAACTTACTATAGGAACAGTTATTTACTTTGGGTTGGGATATTCAAGATATTTTACCTGCATGCAAATGATTCGGCCAGTCTGGGCTTCCACCAATTTGCCAGACACTGGGTTAACAGAAGATGATGCTATGGAACGAGTACAGTTTCTTTGCTTAACTGTTTCTCTATAATTAACTGATAATTTGACTATTTAATGGTTGTCTGATTCGTTCCATATTTTTGTCTGCTCATACAATTTCAGTGTATTACAGGGAATTGACCCTTAAAGCATTATTAAAAGATATGGTATTGCCAATCTTCCACCTTTTGATATCAGCCCTCTTCGAAAAATCCTTCTCAGCTGTAATTAATGAACCTACTCCTGGCATTTTCACTATTAAGTGTAGTTTTCCACCTCACCTTCCTCTGTTCATGACTTTTCGACTGTTTTATGTATGTGCGGGGTTGACACATCCTGACTTTTTTCTGGAGAATATCAGTTAATGGCATTTTGTTCTGCCTTCTGTTTTATTAGTGTCATTTTTTTTTCTTTAAAACATCACTTGCGAGGAAGGAAATGAAAAATAAGCCCTTTCACTACTTGCTGGAATTTATGGCAGTCATTTCAAGTTTAGCTTGTCTCAAAATTATTACATATCTTTGAGTTTCCTCTTTATTTTTGGAGAGAAACTGATATGCCCATTATAGAAGAGATAATTACCTTATATATCATTATGTACATTACATTCTTGAAATAACCACCTGGTAAACCCGAGTATTGTGATCATATACGTCATAACCCATTGATATAGCTGGAGAACTTTGAAAAATATGAAATGATCTGTGTAGACTGAGACGCAATACCACGAAGAAAGATTGATTAAGTAGATTTTTTATTAAATATCTAAAAGAATTTATTAAATTAGCATTAAGGATAGCTAATTCATACATTTATTTCCATTTAGTTGGCTGGTATTGTAACACCCAACGACGAGCGCTGCCACCTCGACGGCAACGAGCTCAGAAAAGCCCACCTCTACGACTTCCCTTCGGTCGCCCAGGTAATATGCGCGTGAAGGGTTATGGGTGCGAATGGGCAGTGCCACAGCGTAAATTCACGATTCCCTTCCATTCATTTTTCTCTACATTCGACACAATGAACTGTCCAATGGATGTCGAATTGGAGAAAAATGAAGCAGGAGTTGAGAGCCTATGGCCACTCAAATGCTTCAAGATCAAAGGGAAATGATTCAACACAGCTATGAACACTGCCAAATGAAAATGGCGAAAGATGTATTGATATCGAATATGGTTGCGAAATAACCAGCACATGTTGATGTGCCAAAGACGTGCTAGTATTTCGCTTCTACATCTGCACAACGACCATGTTTATGCACTAGAATTTTTTTTTCTCTCTCTCTTCTCGTTTTGGGTACATTCACTGTGTCTCCCCTTCCGGCAGATCAACAAGATGGCGAAACTCCACAGAATCAATCTGGTCTTCGCCATCACAGCCGAACAGGAGCCGCTCTACGCTCGCCTGTCACAGCACATAGAGGGCGCGACTTCTGGCGTGCTGGCCAGCGACTCGTCTAATGTGGTCGACCTCCTCACCAGCAGTCTTAAGGTCTGTTGATAACTCATTGTGCATGCCACCATTATGTGGTATTTGAGGCACTGTACTTTATTGCATTGAAATGCTAAATTCACAGAATATTTGTTCATTGGCCAGGCATTACTTACGATGCCACATGTTATGTCAATGAAAGCTATTTATACTATCAGTTAATCTCTCATTCACCAACAGGACATCATAAGCAAGGTGGAACTGACACAGCGAGACCACAACAGCCACGTGTCAGTGCGTTTCTTCAGCGAGTGCAAGGACGGGGAGATGAAGGAGCGATCCTCTTGCCAGGGACTCGATGTCGGGGACGAGGTCCAGTT